CTGGACTTTTTTCTTTGTGAATGGAATTGGAGATTACCTTGGTGGTGGTGTATTGTCCATGAAGCAGATCGGTCCATGCACCCTGATCACAATACCGGCTAACTGAGGTGTCTTGTCCATGGAGCAGATCAAATCGGTTCGTGCACCCTGATCACAATACCAGCCAACTGAGGTGCTTTGTCCGTATGCATGTCCTCTTCTGGATTGATGCCTGTCATATAAAGGGCTGTAAGGATAGCAACTGTATAGATCATCCTGGTAGTGTCTTGTCCATGGAGCAGATCAGATCGGCCCATGCACCCTGTTCACAATACCGGCCAACTGAGGTGCCGTATAGATTGATTAGATGGATAAATTGAGAAAAAGAGTGTATTTTTCTTAATTTCTTTTAATGCCTAAACTATTAAGTATCTTAACTCTTTCTTGAACTATATATGCAAATATGAATCAAACTTTCAAATCTAAAATAAAAGAGAAGAACGAATTCGGAAACTTATCGAATGAATATTTAAAATAAAAATTTTAGTCGCTTTGAGAATAAAGAAATGTAAAGTTCTAAATGTTAGTCAATATATTGATTTCCCATGACATGTTCTCTCTCTTTTCAGATTTAAAAGTTTCATTCATTTAATTGCATCACATATATTTAACCTGCAACCCCAAAACACATTATTGACTGTATTGACTCATCCATTGATGAGCTCTACTCTTCCCCGGCAGACACCATCAAAAGTCTCAAGCTTTACAAGCTTGATACCTTAGTGTGATTGAGTGGAGATAAGAAAGAAGAAGAAGAGATATATTTAAGGAGTCGAGTCACAAGAATTTTGACGGTTTATATAATTGGAAAATAGGTATTACAGATAATATATCATTGCGTTTCGTTGTCTGGAGTATTTTTATAGCTTCTATGTGTATTTAATGTGTAATCCCATTGTCTTCTTCTTCTTTTTTCTTATCTCCACTCAATCATACATGTATTAGGGTATCAAGCTTGTAAAGCTTGTTGATGGTGTCTGTTGGGGATGAGTAGAGCTCATCAATGGATGAGTCAATACAACTGTGTGACGGCCGATGCAACATAGTGGAAACTTGACAACCATCATGACTGGGTGAAGTAGAATGCGTCTGCCTTTGTCATTAAGACTGGGAGCACTACTCAGAGGCAGGCCGACTTAGCTCCAAAAGAAATGGCTGTCTCTGACACGAGGAACAGACGCCATGTGCAGCCACTCCTAATATGCAGTACAGACTCATCCTGTATCCTTGGATTAGGAGCCCTTACAGGATGCTATCAGCTGGGCCAGCTGAGCCCAGGTCCATTGTGTAACTGAATAGTGGGTTTTCAGTATTTCAAACTTTCTATCTATAAACAGGCTCACTAGAATGTACCGGGCGAGGAAGCATTTCCCTTTCTGAATTATACTAGTATTTTTATTGGTGACTCTATTAACCTGAAAACTTCAGGATTCCAGGAATATATTGTTGCATCAATTTTAATGCGCCCTACATTTATTCAAAATATTCTATGATATTTGATATTTATTTAAAACATATTATTTAGTTTATCATCATTCCTTTTTATAGTTTCATTCCATTTGTAATATTGTTATTGTACATATCTTGATTGGCTATTGGAGGGAGAGAGGACCTAGACCAAGACTGCGGATCGCGACCTACGAGGAAGACAACGAATAAATAAACGTAATAACTTTAAAAGGTAATTTATTTTTACTTACTTTTATTTATTTGCTTTAAGTATGGAAACCCGCTCGGTGTATAACACCAAGAAGGAAGAAACCAAGGTCGACGACCCTGCAAAGCTGCAACTTGGTGCAACAATATGAAAATATTAAGAAACATATCCCTCCAAAGCTATGAAGTGACAAGAAAGGCCTCAAGGCCTAATATTTTCATCTTAATATAGGAATAAGGAATTATTTTATTAAATGTTATTACTAATTTAGATTTTTAATCATACGAGTATATTTACAATCAATTAACATAACAACAAAACAAATTATATAAATATGAAGATTGAAATATTTTATTTTATATATATATGTGGTGATTTGTGAAGCAGTTGTGGTTGATTGTGTGATGAGTGATGGGGGATACACAGGATCCAGAGGCCCCGTGAGGAAATAGATCAGGGAGGAAAGATAGAAGGTCAGAAGACCACCCTGGTAACAACTGGTCCCGAGACCACCTCGGTGAGAACTGTCCCCTGATCATCACATCCAGCCGCTTTTAAACCGATTTAAGTAAGATAAATCCCCTAGCAGAGAATGAAATCTTGACACTTGTTTACCAAGGGGGCTGTTTTCTAACCCGGCTATCTTCCCTCTTTCCTCGTACTCCCACACAGGCCATTTTATTTATATATTTCAGAATATTATGACATGTATGAGGTAATATAAAACGGAGATAGAGAATAAAACGCTCCAGAAGTTGAAAGTGACAAGGAAGGCTACGGCCTTAGAGAAAAAGGTGCTGGTGCGGCCCGAGCAAATAGATTGTCCAGTACAACGGTACCTCGTTTGGTACCTAAACCTACGGAGTCGAAGGTCGGACCTATGAAGTCCCGCTATGTAAATTGATATGGGGACAGGTTGTCACGCTTATTTCTGGGGTCGTCAGACTTCCTTTAACTTTATTGTGTCCATACAAGTTACTACAATAATAGGAGATATTTTGATTTTTTATTATGCACTCATGGACAAAACTTAAGAAGGAGTAAAACGTCTTTAATATCGTCTTTTTTTTTATTGAAGGAGACAGAGTGTGTCTTCAATAAAGGTCACAGTGTATCAAATATATTTCAGAGTTATTGTCTGAATCCTGCTATGCATGCTAAAAGGTACAACTTGCTTAAGTTTTGTCAATGAGTGTATATTTCAGAGTTATTGTCTGAATCCTGATATACATGCTAAAAAATACAACTTCCTTAAGTTTTGCCCATGAGTGTATATTTCAGAGTTATTGTCTGAATCCTGATATGCATGCTAAAAAGTACAACTTCCTTAAGTTTTGTCCATGAGTGTATCTTTCAGAGTTATTGTCTGAATCCTGATATACATGCTAAAAAATACAACTTCCTTAAGTTTTGTCCATGAGTTTATCTTTCAGAGTTATTGTCTGAATCCCGATATACATGCTAAAAAATACAACTTCCTTAAGTTTTGTCCATGAATATATTTGATTGTCTTCTATACATGTCTGTATGAAGTAGAGTATATGAAGAGGTATTTTGCAGAATTATGTAAATGAATGGGATTAAGACATGGCTCGTGAGCTTCAGGCTGCTACGGTAACTGAGAAGACAGCGTATACAGAACATCCTGAATGATGAACCACTAACTAGGCGCTGATGAAAGCTGATATCATAGTAGATGGAGATGTTTTCGGTCAAGAAAATTAAAAATGACAACTGCGAATAGAACATAAGGTATCCTTAATACGAGTATGCATCATATAAAATACGTGTCACGTTAGATTAGGTGAAGAAAGATGTTGGGAATCATTTTCCTATTACCTCCGTTGAAATATCATTCAAGATCTACTTGGGGAACATGTACATCAGTGAGGTCAGCATCTTCCAGAATTGTAAAAATGAATCAACTATGTAATGTATTCGTGAAGAATATATCCCATATGATGCCCTATTGTTTCCGAAGACATTGTGAGATCAGAATCTTCCAGTAATAAGGAAGAAGGAAGAAATTTTAAAATTTATTCTTACAGAATATGTTCCATGTGATTCCCATAGTGGGTTAGAGTGAATAATGAGGTCAGGAACTTCCAGCCCGCGCATTGGAAGCATTAACGATGAATTATATTATAGCAGAATATATCCCATGGGATCCTCGAAGTGTATAATAGTACATAGTGAGGTCACTTTTTTCCAGTAATGGAAGAATGATTGAACAATGAAGAGTATATTCATAAGGAATATGTCCAATAAAAGCCATCCATAGTGGATTCAAGTGCATATTGAGGCCACCATCTTCCAGTAATAGAAGAATGAATGAACAATGAAGAGTATATTTACAAAGTATATGTCCAATAAAAGCCTTCCATAGTGGATTCAAGTGCATATTGAGGCCACCATTGGAAGAATGAATGTACAATGAACTATATTATTGAAATATATGTCCAATAAAAGCTTCCCGTAGTGAATTCAAGTGCATAGTTAGGTTACTATATTCCAGTAATAGAAGAATGAATTAAAATACAATATGACGCGGCTGATGATTGTAAAACGAAAATTGCAAATATACCGCGAATGTTTCTTTTATAAAAATCGAAATTTATTTTCAAAGAGAAATAGCGACATTTCTAACTCTAAGGATGAAGTATGGAAAGGTGAAACATGAAGAGTAATGGCGAACGGAAAAATAAAAGTGTCCAGGGGCGGGAATCGAACCCACACCCTTCTGCTTACCGGGCAGGTGCCTTGTCCACTCGGCTACCCTGGACGTATTTTTCCGTTCGTAACTAATACTTAAAGTAACATTTAAAATACAATATAACGCGGCTGATGATTGTAAAACGAAAATTGCAAATATACCGCGAATGTTTCTTTTATAAAAATCGAAATTTATTTTCAAAGAGAAATAGCGACATTTCTAACTCTAAGGATGAAGTATGGAAAGGTGAAACATGAAGAGTAATGGCGAACGGAAAAATAAAAAGTGTCCAGGGGCGGGAATCGAACCCACATCCTTCTGCTTACCGGGCAGGTGCCTTGTCCACTCGGCTACCCTGGACGTATTTTCTGGACACTTTTTATTTTTCCGTTCGCCATTACTCTTCATGTTTCACCTTTCCATACTTCATCCTTAGAGTTAGAAATGTCGCTATTTCTCTTTGAAAATAAATTTAGATTTTTATAAAAGAAACATTCGCGGTATATTTGCAATTTTCGTTTTACAATCATCAGCCGCGTTATATTGTATTTTAAATGTTACTTTAAGTATTAGTTACGAACGGAAAAATACGTCCAGGGTAGCCGAGTAGACAAGGCACCTGCCCGGTAAGCAGAAGGGTGTGGGTTCGATTAACGCCCTGGACACTTTTTATTTTTCCGTTCGCCATTACTCTTCATGTTTCACCTTTCCATACTTCATCCTTAGAGTTAGAAATGTCGCTATTTCTCTTTGAAAATAAATTTCGATTTTTATAAAAGAAACATTCGCGGTATATTTGCAATTTTCGTTTTACAATCATCAGCCGCGTTATATTGTATTTTAAATGTTACTTTAAGTATTAGTTACGAACGGAAAAATACGTCCAGGGTAGCCGAGTGGACAAGGCACCTGCCCGGTAAGCAGAAGGATGTGGGTTCGATTCCCGCCCCTGGACACTTTTTATTTTTCCGTTCGCCATTACTCTTCATGTTTCACCTTTCCATACTTCATCCTTAGAGTTAGAAATGTCGCTATTTCTCTTTGAAAATAAATTTCGATTTTTATAAAAGAAACATTCGCGGTATATTTGCAATTTTCGTTTTACAATCATCAGCCGCGTTATATTGTATTTTAAATGTTACTTTAAGTATTAGTTACGAACGGAAAAATACGTCCAGGGTAGCCGAGTGGACAAGGCACCTGCCCGGTAAGCAGAAGGGTGTGGGTTCGATTCCCGCCCCTGGACACTTTTTATTTTTCCGTTCGCCATTACTCTTCATGTTTCACCTTTCCATACTTCATCCTTAGAGTTAGAAATGTCGCTATTTCTCTTTGAAAATAAATTTCGATTTTTATAAAAGAAACATTCGCGGTATATTTGCAATTTTCGTTTTAGAAGAAGGAATTAACAATGAAGAGTATATTCATGAAGTACATGTCCAATAAGCTCCCCATAGTGGCTTAGAGAGCATGGTGAAGTCCAATCTTCTAGTAATTGAATAATGAATGAACAATGAAGTATATCCTTGAAGTAAATGTCCGATAAGCTTCCCATAGTGGCTTAGAGAGCATGATGAAGTCAGAATATTCCATGAATAGAAGAATGAATGAACAATAAAGAGTATATTCATGGAATATATGACCAATAATCTCTCCATAGTAGCTTCTAGAGCATGATGAGGTCACTATCTTCCAGTAATGGATAAATGAATGTACAATGAACTATATTCACAAAGTATATGTCCAAAAAGCTCTTATAGGGGCTTCTAGGGCATGATGAGGTAACGCTCTTCCAGAAAGGGAAGAATAAATGAACGATGAACTATATTCCTTAAGTATATGTCCAATAAGAATCTCAATGTAAATGAGCCACATGTATAGATCCACCAACTGACAGTCGTATGTTGCAGGTGGATCTGAAACACAAAGACCAACGAGATGATTCCCCTGAGATCAAGTTTGGCATCGACCTAAGCGAATTCTACCTGAGCGTGGAGTGGGACATAATGGCCGTTCCTGCCCTACGGAAAGAGAAGTTCTACAGTTGCTGCGAGGAGCCCTATCCTGACATCACTTTCAACATCACCCTGCGTCGAAAGACTCTCTTCTACACTGTCAATCTGATCATTCCCTGCGTGGCCATTACCTTTCTCTCTATCCTTGTCTTCTATCTGCCTTCGGACAGTGGCGAGAAAGTCAGCTTGAGCATCTCAATCATCCTATCTTTGGGCGTCTTCTTCCTGCTACTGTCGGAGATAATTCCGCCCACATCGCTCGCTGTGCCCCTGCTCGGCAAATACCTGCTCTTTACTATGATCCTAGTCTGCTTCAGCGTCTTTGTCACAATCGCTGTCCTCAATGTCAACTTCAGGTCGCCCTCCACTCATCGTATGGCTCCATGGGTGAAGAAAGTGTTCTTGGAGATCCTACCAAGGCTGGTATGTCTTACGCGGCCTGACGAAGACAAAGATGAAGGTTCCAACCCGGAGGTGAAGACAGCTGGGCCAGAACTGCCCTATGGTGTGATGAAGGAATCTCCTGCACCAGAAGATCTTCATCCTGATCTTCAACGTGCGGTCACCAACATCCGATTCATCTCTCACCATACCGAAAACAAGGACAGCTTTTCTGGGGTGAGTTTATTATATATTCGAAATTGGATAATTCGAAGCCCAAGGGACAAAACAATTTTCGAATTATCTAAAAATTCGAATTAAAAACGTAAATTCTAGAGACCAAGATAAATATTCGAATTAAAGACTTTTTTTCTAATTAAAGACGTTCGAATTATCCAATTTCTACAGTACGAGGTGTGTTCAAAAAGTATCGCGAATTTTGAATTTTCGCGGGTTACGCATATTCGAATTTCGATCTTTTTGTGGCTTTATGTTGGTACTCATGTCTCTCACTTATGCCGACAAGCTCGGCCATTTTGAATGTTCACTTAATTGTTGACATCTGCTTTGCTTGCAGGTGTTTTGGATCGTCTTCGATTTTTACCTATTAAAAAAAATGGATCAAAGAACCTGTATCAAATTTTGTGTGTGAAAAACGAAATTAAGTGCGCGGATGCATTCCGAATGTTGACTGTGGCATACGGAGAAGCTACTTCGGACCGAAGCAACGTTTATCGGTGGTACAAAATGTTCTCAGAAGGCCGAGAAGATGTGAACGACGAAGAGCGTGCCGGACGCCCGAGCACTTCAACAACTGACGAAAAAATTAATGAAGTGGAGAAAATGATATTGGCCAATCGTCGAATCACCGTTAGAGAAGTTGCTGAGGACCTAAACATATCGATTGGCTCGTGCCATTCGATTTTTATCAATGATTTGGGCATGAGACGGGTCGCCGCGAAATTCGTACAAAAATTGTTCAATTGCGACCAAAAACAGCATCGCATTAACATTGCTAATGAGATGTTGGACTCTGTCCGCGACGACTCAAATTTGCTCCAGAGGGTCATAACTGGTGACGAAGCGTGGGTTTATGGTTATGACGTGGAAACCAAAGCTCAATCATCTTAATCGAAGCTGCCGCACGAACCAAGACCGAAAAAAGCGTGCCAAGTTCGGTCGAATGTGAAAGTTTTTGCTGACAGTTTTCTTCGATTGCAGGGGCGTGGTGCATCATGTGTTCTTGCCACAGGGTAGAACGGTCAATAAGGAATATTACCTGCAAGTTATGCGTAATTTGCGCGAAGCAATCCGCCAGAAACGCCCGGATTTGTGGAAGAACAAAAATTGGCTTTTGCACCACGATAACGCCCCTGCTCACCATCAACTGCTTCATCACCAATACAGTAGAACCTCCATGAGAGGACACTCACGCTAGAGGACACCTCTCTATAAAGAACAATTTTAATTTACAAAATTACCATTTTCACTATTCAGCAACTCTCCGGTAAATGGACACCTCTCCGTAAAGGACACTTTGGCTCTGCAATTAGGTGTACTTTACAGGGAGTTCTACTGTATATATTAACATTTAAATTCTCTAAATATATTATTTAACAAAACAAAAATAAAAACACTTATGAAAAACACAGCCATATCAACAAATAATTTATTTAACTCCTGACATTTCAGTGATTTCTGTCACTCTCCACAGGGGAATGTCTCAGAGTGACAGGAAGTCGGGAGTTAAATAAATTGTTACTTCGTACCCAGACTCGTGTACTTTGTCTAATCAGGATGCCACAAAGATACACCGTGAGTTCGAAGGGATGCAGCAAAAGTTATCGCTTTATTATGGCTCTAAACAGAAGGAGTACAATCAGTGGGTCTTGCCTCCAACCTCCCTGTCAGAAGAATCCTTGGCGCCGTGGATGTCACTCTTGTGAAACCTTTCGCTCCACACTGTGCACGTCAAGCCTGAACTACACCGCCTTGTAGGCCGCTCCGATGTCAGGTTCTCCTGGCACCGTCTTGTAGGGTCATCCACACGCCCGGAGGCAAGTTTCCACGTCTTCTTCTTGCCGCAGATGTTACCAGACTCTGTCCTCCCCCACACAGGAATGCTGTTTTTGGCGCCTGCCACATGGCAGCTGGAGTCCACCCTCTTTCCCCAACTTTACTCTGGAATCTTGGCCTTGTCATCCATGTTACAATATCATTAGTTGATATGGCTATATTTATTCTTAATCAACTTCTATCCAACAAATGATGTTTGTATAAACACTTCTATTAACTTAGGATCTTGGAAACAACAGATGGATCTAGCTATTGAAATTCTTATTCACAAAAAGCATCAAGCAATGAAGAAATAGATGCAGCAGAACAAAATAATTCTCTAATGGTTATTCTATTAAATTTATCTCTATCACGGCCCTATTTCTCATTGCCTCTTTACTTCTTCTAAACTTTCTATAAAACTTTGATATTAGATTAATGGATTCTTTAGATTGAAAAAAAGAATTAAAGGAAGTCGGTAGAAGAATGGTCTAAACCATTGGTTTTCGACCGCTGCGACCCGGGATCGAATCCCGCATAGGGCACTTTTTTTCTAATTTAAAAAAATGCTCCAATGGGTCTTGATTCTTGCCAAATCAACCCCACCAGTGTGTGTAAGTAAATAAACGGGGGCTCTGACACATTTGTAAGTGGTAAAGTCGAACTGCTTTTCATATGTGTAGATATGTGGTTGCACTTAGAGTAAAAGCATTCGCTAGCTACCCAACATGAATATCATGGCCTGTACCACATGTGATAAGGATAATAAGAAATAAGAAGGTTACCCATAAATATTCATTTGTACATCACATGGTGATGACAAAAGTTACTATTACGGGTTACTACACAAAAATGGAATATAGCAGGGCCTAAAGTAAGAGTAATTTAATATACAGAAAAGCGTACACTCAAGAGTACAACACCAACAACAAGAAGGAGGTAAATAAAACTCGAGATTGGTAAAATAAAACAAAACACACACATTACTTATCTTTATTTTAGCGTTGGTAGGGATCGGACTCGGGTCAAACCGGGATGCGAAGAGATCCCCAGACACGGAAAAACCACGTAGAAAAACACTTTAAGCGTCTCCACACCAATTCTCCTCGCCTGGGCCCCCTTCGCATTCTCTTAGTCCCCTCTTATATACAGACATGGCCACATTCGTCAATGACATGAGAGATTGGTTAGCTAACAAACGAAGACAACACTCT